AAAGAGACGTTGCGGGGGGGGGGCGTTGAAGGGGTGGGAACAGGGAGAGGTAAAGGGAAAGGAGATGGAAACTTGTACACTGTCAGGGTTGTCTAGATAGAGGTAGGACCATCCAAAAAAAAGGACACCTGGCAGGAAACAGGAGGGAAGGGGGGTTCATGTATCTTCCTTAACTGTCCCCTCAGGAAGAATAGGATTCCAGGTGACTTTTCAAAGAGAGGAAATCCACCTGGTTACAAGGACACGCTTTATTAGGGAGAAAATGGTTTGGATTTGGGACATCACCTGTCAGGCTAGCAGCTTTCACTGATGGAGTCTCTAGAATACACAGAAAACTCAGAGGCAGCTACGGAAGTGGGATTTAAAGAAGTATAAATTAGTACAGAAACTCCTTTTTTGTAAGTACAGAAACTCATTTTTTGAACATGAAATGCAGCTCAAAACACAGAGCATTATACAAAAATGAATTATTCTACTTTAAATTGAATATGTGTGTGTATATGTGTGTGTGTACAAATGTATCATTTCATTAAAATGCGGTTCTCCTTGTCCATCCTTTCCCTAAAATCTTCAATGGTTTCTCTGTAGGGTATGGTTCAGATTTTTGCAGGTGTTCCAAGCCTTCTAAAATCTAACTCCAAATATCATCTCTTGTTATTACAAAATCCTTATTTCCCAGGATTTGACTAGGTTATGTAAATTATGGTAAATCCCAGCAAGGCAACAGTATGCTGCTACATTATGCTGCTATTAAAAAAAAATAGATATCACAAAATTGTATTGTAATTATAATGATGTAAAATATGACTTTGAAAAATGATCAGAAGAAAATATAAATAGGTAGATAAAAGTAGTGGTATTATAGATGATTTTCTCTATTTTTAAACTTATTTCTATAAAGATAAATTTGTCCTTACATACTTGAATAGTCAAAATTAGTTATGACCATTCCCAGTTTTTATTCAATTTTCTCAACAGTGCATAATATCCAGCAATCATTTTTACACAATGTCAACAAAATAAATTTCAAGACCAATAGTGAATTAATACAAAGAGACTTCAAAAAGTTCATAGAAAAAATGGAATTAGAGCACGAGTTTATTTTGGTGTGAAAAGTTTTAAAGTCTGTGCATAGTTTGTTCATAATATACGATTTAAATGAACTTTTTGAATACCACCTTACATATCTGCCCAGGTCTTTTTAGAAAGAGTTATACAACAGATCTCAAGATTTGTCAAATATAACTTCTCAGGCAGTTGGAGAATGAAATGCCTCTTTTGTACTAATTCATTTTAAATTGTGATGCTATAGGGAAATGAAAAAATGAACATGATCTATCTATAACAGAACAGGAAAGAGAGAAACAAAAACTAAGTAACCTACATAATCCAGACTATTTTTAATATTTACTTTGCATTATATTTTCCTTAATTAAAATATATTTGTGCATACCTAACTATTACATGAACATTATAGGAGCATTATAGACAGTGAGAGTAGAAATTTGCATCTAAATCTGAGTCCAAAGTCCATGCTTTTTTTAAATATGATGCTGTGTACTGCTCAGAATTAAATATGATATTACTGGTCTTGCTAAATACATACTTACTTAAAAAATAATAATAATACACAAGATTGGTGTGTGCGTTGAAAAACCATGCATTCTTAACGAGCTTCTTTTTGGTACACTGCTTGTCCTCTAATGCAAAAATATCAAACACCCTCCCTCTCTCTTTTGAATCCTTGATTAATGGGTTGAAATGAGGAGAGTTCTGCTTCCAGTGATTTTACAGATATCTTTTTAATTAACTTTGGGGTTAAAAAAAGTAATCACATCACATTGATTTTTTTTTTAACATCATTGTGAAAGTAACCTAAAAAAAATCACCGATCTAAATTTACTTATTATTAATATCTCTGGTTTCTACAATACACTTATTTATTTTAAACAAGAACACTTTTTAAAAATTATTTTTTATTTAGCTTTATTTATTTGTTTATTTATTTTAATTTGAGCAGAGAGGGACAGAGTGAGAGAGAGAGACAGAGAGAGAGAGAAAGGGAAAGTGAGAAAGCAAGCCAGCAGGTCCAGGACTTGAACCACAGTTAACCATGTGGGAGCCCAGTACTCTTAACCACCACACCACCTGCCAGCCCTAAACAAGAACACTTTTTTTGAGAAAGAAATAACTGAATTTTCCTGGCCAATGATTTAACCTGAGTCTTCTAGGCTATTGATTTAAATTGTAATTAAAAAGTATTTGATTTCACTCTAATTCTCCTATATACCTCAACTATAACTTACAGCTATTTATGCAGTCACTGCATATGATTATTTAAATGTGTGTTTTTCTTTTTTCCTTGGTAATCATAGAAGCTAGCATGGTGCCAAAATCTTATTAGGTGCTTGACAAATTAAAGCATAGTAATAACACAGAAAGAGGACTGGACTTAGGACCTAAGTACAACACAAAAGACTTGATTGAGTCTTCTATGAAAGGGTGATAACTTATATTATTCTTGATACCAGAATGTAGTCTTTACTGCCAGTCTGATTTTTTCCTCCAAGAATATAGGGCAACTACCTGGGACTTTGAAAGGAAAGGATTCTAAGCTGAAATATCTTAAAAGATTTCATCTGTGTAATTTTCCCACTCAATTCCCACCATCTCCTGCTTCCTTACTTGGGAGTTCCTTGATTCAAGGATATAATGACACTATCATAATAACCACTTGGAATGTGTGTCCTACGTCTCAGGTTAAAAACTACTTTTGTATCCCCTTGTTTGATTCTGGCAACCACCACCACAGTTTACAGTGCCAGTTATTAGGATCTGCATTTCGCAGATAACAGCATGAAGGCCTAGAGGTTTGAAGTCGCCTGTCCAGTGCCTCACGGAGACAGTCATAGAAACCAGTTTCCCTACCCTATGTGTTCTGTCTACTAGCTTGTATGGCAACTTGAGTTATATGTCTTCTTTGGGTACCATCCCCCTACCCAGCCACTTAAGAAGTGAGAGGCTCTGGAATGGGACTTGTAGCAACAGAAGTAAACTGACATGAGTATCTTCAAACAGTTCTAGTCCAATTCTGGATAAAGGGAACATTGTTAACTCTCATGTGTCATTAATGGGATTGTAAAGTGGCACAACCTTTTTGGAGGGTAGAGAATAATACAAAATTTTACAATGCACATATCATTTTACACAGCAATTCTACTCAAGGAATTGGCCTATGAATATTGGAGGGGACTTCACAAAATTTGTAGAAGATGGAACAGAAGTACAAGATCCTTCTGGTGCAAAAATTTGTGAAGTCCGTGAATAGATTTTTTTTATAATAATCATTTCCATGAACTTTTTGAAGATTGCACTTACAGATAAAAACATGTCAAGATATGTTCAAGTATATTCATGGCTGAATCTTATGTAAGAATGAAAAAATCTTACATAAAAGATAACCTAAATGTCCAAGAAGGGAATTGTTACTGGTTTTCTAAAACCACTTTGTTGAGGTAAAACTGCCATGCAAAATGTTGTACATAATTAATAAATACAACTCTAAGAATTTCATAATCATTATCTACCTAACAAAGCTATCCATCACCTTCCAAATTTTCCTTTT